TCGTGTACTGTTCTTGCATTAATTAAAAAAGCTTTATTGCATCCTAGATTTATCCCTACGATAATTTATTGAATGAAATTTGATGAATTTCTCAACCAAGATCTATGGAATAAATTAAATAAAAAATTTTGAAAATTCTTTTCTTAACACTTTCACTACCGAAACACCTCCAGAGCCTCAAGTGCCCATGAAACTAGTTAGAGATTCTTCCCCCTTTTCGGAAAATGATGCACAATGAGAGAGGGGTGGCAGTTATCATCCCTGATGATAATTTGCGGAAAGGGGAGAGTAGAGGGATTTTTCAACAAAAGTTTCTTTTCTACAGTTCAGAAAATATTTCTTAATATTATTTGATTTATTTATATTTTATAGAGCTAATTAAAAATATCTTATGTATTAATAATGCCTGCAAAAATTATACGGCGATTTAACAATTTTGAAGGTTAAACATAAGCATAGTTATTAATACTTTTTAGTAGATTATAATACTTGTATTTAAACTTGAAATATCTTATTTTACTCTATTTTGATTTTGCGTGCCAATTTTTTTAACTAATCTTTTGATTGAAAATTATTTATTTAGAGGCCAAAGAGTTCATATTTTTTATCTGTTAAAATAAAATCTGGATTGTTTTTTATTCATCTAACGTTTAATTATTCTTTTAATACTATCGTTTTAAGATTTTAAATTCAACGCACCTACTCAGAAATAAATTCAACTTCGAATTCACCTATATCAGGGATGGCGAACCAATGGCACGCGTGCCATTTATGGCACCCGACGCAATATTTTGGGCACGCCACCGATCACATTTTTTATTACACTATGAATTGTTATTACACAATGAAGCATAAGTAACAATTAAATTAAAATTTACAGAAAAACGCAAAATAATAAACAATTATTAATAAAAAAAATTAACAATTAATGCTAAAAAAAACAATTAATGACCATAAAAAACAAGCTTACAATAAATAACTAGCGAAAAAAATTAACAATCCTGCTTAAACTAACATCTTACAACCTAATATAAGTTATTTGTCATCTAATCTGCATCTACAGAAGTCACACTGATGTTACTTTAAGTTGAATTATGCGTATAACTCAGACATTGCAAAATGTTTTTTTTTTTTTTAAATATAAATAAAGAATTTTGAGTTGATAGTATTTAGTATTATTATTTTCCAAATAATCACGAAGTCAAAATTATTTGACGGCACATTTATGAGCTCATTAAACAATTTTTTAGAAAAAATGGCACGTTGGTGTATAAAGGTTCGCCACCCCTGACCTATATGAATACAAATATTTTTCGTGTTGCATATTGGATAGCCCTATATTCTGAGGCTAATAGCGAAATGGTTATAAAGATAATTAATTGAAATTTTCCTGGCAATACTACTCGAGAAAAAGTTTAAAGAAATATTTGATCGTAAAAATAAAATAAAGTTCTCATAAGCTTATAATTCACAGTTAAGAAATATACTAATTTTTAACTTTGCAGAAAAAGAGAAATATGAACTCAAAATTAATTAACCAAAATTATAAAGCTGTTTACTTTTTTTTATCAGAACTTTTTTAGTTACTTACGTTGAAAAGGAAATACTAGAGTAATGGTACCGTTTTTTTAACATTAATAATTTAGTTATTGTGTCTTTAAAAACATATCAATCGCTCAAAATAATAAACTGCTAGAAATTCTCAGTGTTTTCAGAAAGAAAAAAAAATAGCAGAAATTTAAAAGTACATTATTAGTGCGTTAACAAGACTAAAAGATCACTAAATACAATTAATAATAAATCTATTTTCAAATACAAAATAAATAGGTAAACATAATTTTTTTTAAAAGTTAGATTGTAGGCTTTGATGCCTTACAAAATGGCTTTTACATTTATAACAATAGGATCAAGGAGAAAAAACTGCTTTGATGGGTGCCAAAACTATTCATTGAAATTTGAACTTCATTCTGCATTTGTAGTTCGACAGCTGTAAATCATATATTCACGTTATCTTGCTGTTTATGAATGCCTCGCTATTTTCACCTTTTCAATGCTTGTTATTACTTAGGTATTGCATTTGAAGCTGCAACGACCCATTTTTTAATTTATTGTTAATATCTGGTTTAAGAACACGAATGTTTGCTAGTATGTTGGTGTCAAAAATCTTAAAATAGTTCCATCTTTATGAATTAACTTTCAGTTTTAAACGCTATCTTTTTACGAAGAGGATAATCAGGAGTTAACTAATTTCTCACAAACTTATTTTTTCCTTCATAATGTATTCTCTATATACTATATTCAGTTGTCAGACAACTCATGTATTACAAGTTACTCATTCTTTTCGGTAGAAGGTAAGCATTATCAGCATAGCTTCTAAAGGCTATTGTTAAATGAAAAACAGCATATCATGTTGTAGATTTTCTAAATTTCTACCTGAAGTTGGGATTGATATCTTTGTCACCAAAATTTTGCTGCAGTAGTGTAAGAATTTTCTTCTATATTCCTCTTTTCTTTCAAAGAAATTTCTTGTCACCACACCCATGTATACTGCACCATGTGCCGATTTCCGGCTCTTCAGTAAAATGCGGAACAATTTAGTTGCACACTCAAAAAGAAATACAAGTAAAACGTGACAGAAAGAAAAATCTGAGTCTAGAAGGCAGTGTTAAAATAGCATGTAATTCTGTTCGTTAGCATAAGTAAAGAATAGCTGTCTGGCTGATTAACGATGGGATCGGAGGTTAACAAAAAATTATATATTAAATATAGTAGCTAAATATAATCATTAAAATTTTTAAAAAATGAAATATGAAAAAAAAAGTAAATAAAAATTTAGACCTTGTAAAATATATATATATATATATTTGCTAAGCTTTAGAGAAATTGTTATATAGTTTAAAACTTATTTTGTTTGCTTGTAAGTAACTTTTTTAATTTAAGATAATTTTTCAATGATTAGATTTTTATTAAATTACACATAATTTTATTTTTGCTTAATGATTAGCAATAATTTAATGAAATTCAAATGCAGTTTTATTGTTCTTATTATGAATAAAATTTCTTAGTTCAATTTACTTAGTTATCCATATTTATTGTGTTTTAAATTTTTTTTTTATTTCTAACTAAAATATTTTAAAAATTTATGAAAAAAATGATCAAAAATGAAGAAGATTCGTAGAAAAATTACAGCAAAAATAGATGCTTCAAAAAATAAGATAGGAAAAATAATCATCGAAAAAATATTGAACAACAGATTTAAATAAATATAAAAATTATATCTAAAAGAATCTTTTTTAAATACTATAGAAGTATTTCGACAATACTTTTATTTTATTCAATAAAATGTTGTTTTTTTTCTCTACAGATTAAAATAAAGAAAGTACTAATTTACTTTCTATGGGTAAACATTTCATAGCTGAATTTTTTTTGGTCCTTTCCCTCATACCATATCAAACAAGCAAGTAAAAAGTTTATAAGCCAGAAAATTTTTCAAGCAAATATAAATAACAAAATAATCATTTTACAGTTAATATATTATTTAAAAGAAAAAATAGTATAGATTTCAGTTATTAATTAAAATATATATTGAAATTTTAATCTTATACGCTCTGATAACACCTCTAAGTAGATATCTGGAGTCACCACAGTAAAACTTAAATTTTTTTTATCTCATTAATTTGAAACTACAATGAATTCATTAATTTTAGAAGCTATATAGAAATATTACACTATGTAGTTTATATGACTTAACCTTTGCTCAAACTACATATAATCAGAGCATACTTATGAGCAAAAACTTATATACTTTTATATAAATTATGGAAAGACATATACAAAATTTGGCATCTATTTCGAATCATTTTCTTTCAAATAATTAAAAATAAGTTAAACGATTTAGATTATTTACAAGAGTCTTATAACAAATAAATTTATTATTATTCTTTTTAATTTTAAAAATGTTTTTTGACACACCAAACTGAAAATTACATAAAAATATAGTTTATAAGTAAGTAATTTATTCGAAAAACATTGCACTTTTCTATTTCTTAATATTTATATAGAATATTGTACTAAAAATATTATTGTTAAAATAGTTCCTTTGCATTTTTTTAAAATTTTTATACAAGTTTACATACTCTTTTACGGTGCAGCACTAAAGGGAATATTATTTACAATTGAAAATTTCATTGAAATGAATTTAGTGCAGGCTGAAGTGAAAAATATTTTCGTATACCCTGGGGTCAAATTAAGTTTCTGGGGATATTATTTTTAATATTTTCAGAGCATTATTAAAGAAAAAAAAAAGTTTATCTTATTTTCAAATTGCAGAATGAGATAAAATAAGACTCATTTAAGTTGAATGAATATTTTTAATACTATCACCAAATTAATTTCTCCTTGAAGTCAGATGTTGTTTACTTTAAATTTTGGTTTGTAAGAAATTTTAAAGTTCATTTTGCAATCATTTAAGTTATAGAAATATATTAGTTTTTATTTTACAACAAATAAAACTATTTTATCTGTACAAGAATATCATTTTCATTTTGAATGCTTCATTTAGAAATTGTATAACTGGATTGCATGGAATTACATAGTTAATTTTTTATATAAAAAAAAAATTAAAAAAATTAAAGCATTTATTAACATTTTATAAATCTTGTTAAGCTAGGGATATTCTTGCTTCAAATAATGTCTTACATCCCCATGAGCACTTCTTTTGGGGATATTTCCCCTGGTGAATAAGAAGATGATCAGTCATTCTGTCAATTACTCAGTAAAGCTGGGAGTAAGAACATTTTGCTACCTGTTTTCCAAATTCGTTTGCGGTATTCACGGCATGATGTGGCTTTGAGCGCTCAGTATTTTAAGAGTTAATGTATATATATACACCAGTTTTGATCATGTAAAAATGGTCCACTATTGATAAAGTGATCTGTCGGTTGAAATAAGTGACTAATACTATAAATAATTTTAAACATACTCTTGAAGTAAACCATCAATGAGATATTACAGAACACTTGTTTCACTCATTTATTTAATTTTTCAGTGTCCATTTACACTTAAAATAATTAAATTGATGGGAAGGAGTTGTGCATTTTGGGACACTTTTCACTTTCAAGTCACATTTGCAGATAAAAGAAAACTTTTATACTTACTTGAAAACTTACACACACTTTTTCTCGAAAACTTACACATACTTTTTCTTGAAAATATATTTTCCAATACAATAAATTTAAAATAATTTTCTTAGTTACTTAAAGTAAAAATTGAAAAATATCCCCAAGTACAAAACTTTATTATAAATTGGGACTATTTTATTACAAAAACTCTGAATTAAGAAAATACATTAAAAACATATGGAGTTAAAGTTCGCAAGTTAAACCTAATACACAAAAACAGCCATTCATAGGAGAGTTTTTAAATCTGGGCAGAGCTCAAATTGCATGCTTATGAAAATGAACAAAGCTTAAAATGCAAGTTGGCAGGTATTAGCTGGAAAGATCTGATGCCATATAACCTGGCCAGGTGTTGGTCTTTTAGGAGTCTGTTTGATCCCCACTCTCCTTTAAGGAGCTGATGGACATTGTAGGGGATTGTTAACACGTTGAGGTGTCCGGCACTGAAATAAAATTATATATTAATAAAAAATATAAGAAATTTAATACTAACACTTTTGACTTATTATTTAGCTTCAAAATTATCAACATCATTTTCAGTGCAATATGTACATGAATCTTGTAAGTCCTCGAACCAATCTTTGGAATAGAAAATTGCATTATCAATTCGTTGTGTTTCCACACCCTCTAATGTTAACAATCCCAGCAATTGAATTACTTTAAATATAAAAAAATATAATTATTAACTAAATAAATATTAAATTAAAATAAAAACTTATGTTGTTACGTTGTTTTATTGAATTTTATAGCCTCAAAATAATCCTTGCACGCTCTGTAAAATGATTGTTGGGGGATTAAATTTATACACTTGATTCCTATCATTAAAGCCTCCGGAAAAGATAAGTTATTGGATGATATTATTATTCCTAGAGGAAAATATTGTGTGACAGGATCCCGGCTTCTTCTTTCTAAAATAATCTCGTGATGTCCATCTAAATAGTCCCTCATATTATCATCTAAATTTTTAATGCCAATATCACGGACATCATCAAAAACTACAAATTGGTGGCCCATCGCCATTCCTAATTGGAACATACTGTGGGTATTATCTTAACCCCCTCTTAAGTTAATGTTTATCTCGCTACAACCCAAACAAAATTTTAACCCCCTCTGCCAATGTTGATTCACCCACAAAGAAATTCCCATCCAAAGCAATCCATCTATTTTTAGGTTTAGCACTTTGAAAACAATTTAAAGCATTAATTATTAATTTTAACATAACAACATGACCATGTAATTTTATTAATAACTTAGCATAGCCATAATGTTGTCTTTTAATCACTACGTCCGAATCAAAGAATTTAAAAATAATTTCATTGATCTCTTTCCTTAAATAATCAGTATTAGAGGTCGGTGAAATCATTTCTGTAGCATACAAGAGCACAACTTTCATCTCGCCCCCTGCATGCTCAACGCGATAGGCCATTCCAACAAATAATTTAGAATTTTCAAAATGTTCTGTGAACTCATCATGAAATGTGCTAGTTTCATTAGATATTTCTAAATATTCATAGGTTAGAGTCATTTGGTTAGTAATGTTACGAGAAACAGCAAAATCAGTAAATATATTTAAATTGCATGTTATTTTATCAACTACCATGTATGGAGAAAAGTGTTAAATTTGCACTTTTTAAAAAAAAAAATAAATAGGAATATAAAGCATTGATATCTTCAATATATTCACATATGCATGGAGAGTTCACAATAATTAAATCATTCTCGAGTTTTTCTTAAGTTCGAGACTCTTCATAGGTATATTAATTTCAAGATCAATATAGCCAGTGTTAGTATCGTTATGTTTATAAGAACCAGAAGCAATTCTCTTACTCCTATGAGCAAAGAATTCCACAAGAATCTCGAGCTTTTTCACCAAAAATGAAAGAAAGAACTATCTACAAGACCAAAATAAAATCAATCCATAAAAACCAATTTAATACTAATCGCAGTCTAAAAAAATACCATTTTCTTGTTACAGTAATTTTTAATCTATAAAAGTGTTTTCAGAACTTGTAAAATCTTAGGAACAACATGAAAACGTCCATAATTATGAGATGGGTTTGCACATTCTTGTATTAGAGCAGATAAATTGGATGCAATATTATCAGGAATATTGTGTAAAAGTCCTTTATATGAATAATAAGAGTTGGGAATAAGTAATCCCTTACAAATTGCATAATAGTTATGATCAGATAAATCAGAATTACAGAGGTCTTCATAAGAAAAGTTCAAACAATCTTTACAATATTCTCCTTTACTTTCATGTAGTTTCTGACCTGAAAAACAAAAATGCATTGTTTTAACTTAAATATCACCTAGAACTAAATGGGACAGATTTCAATTCATTTGGTTCCAGGCAAAACAGAGAAAAGTTATGTACAAAATGGTTTAGCCAACCGTTAATGAATCTTACATTTAGAATATATCAGGGTTTGTTGGTTTAAATCAGGTTGATTTAAATAAAAATTTTTTTTAAAAAAAATCATTGACTTTTTAAAAAGATAAAACACAGTGCTTTAAATTATTGATACTTTTATTATTTTCTTTTAGTTTTAAAATTTATTTAAAAAAATTGCTGCATTAATTAATTTTAGTTAACAGAATTACTTTCTTGGTGTGTGTTAAATTCCAACACATTTGAAATTACATTTTTAAAAAGCTTTTCATTCTTGAGATTGAAAGTACAGATTAAAGTAATGAGGCACAGTAACTTAGTAGAAACAATATGAGGTATATAACAATATGAGGTACAGTTACTTTGTAGAAAAACGGCAGGAAGAAAAAAGAATAATATTAAGATTTATTTTGATGAAGAACCTACATTTTCAGGAAAAGGAGTAAAAGCTAAATGCATGAATTGTGGAAAAGTTATAATGGATTTAGTAGCAAAGTTTTTTTTTAACCTTGCATGTGGAAATATGTTTGTCCTGTAATAAGGAAGAGATGGATAAAAATGAACAACTTGAAATTCTGACCATCTCAAAAAATGCTATTAGCAAAGATACAGAGGTGCTAGAGACAACAAAAACTAAGAAGAGGAAAGCAATTGAGGTGGAAAGAAAAATATTAATAATGTTCAGAACAGCATGACTGCTTATGTGATAAAAACCACTAAAACACAAAAACAAAGCCTGGATGAAGAAGTAGTCAAGCATATTTCTGCAACCAACTCTGTTTTTCACCATGCTCAACATTCTCAGTTGAAAAAAAAAAAATTATTTCTCCTTTGAGACCAGTATATACTGCTCCTAATGAAGTAGAAATAGGTGGTGCATTACTAGATTCTATATATAACATTTCAGAACATTTGGCTTTCTCTGTATAACCAAGAGAAAGCCAAATGTTCTGAATATCTAAACGAACAAATTGTGAACTTAAGAAAAGATGGATGGTCCACAATGAATCAATACTCCATGCTGTTGTAACCACTGAGAAAGGTGAAAATTATTTAGTGGATACTATTGATACATCAGGCTGTCCGCACACATCAGAGTACTTACCAGAAGTTACTAAAAGTATTATAATAAAATGCGAAGATGAATTTAAATGTGTTGTTCGGAGCATTGTCACGGATGACGCTTCCAATGTGAAAGGTATGCGGACCAACATTCAAGCTGATCCTAATTTAAACCTAATCACATATGGCTGCTCAGCCCATTAGCTAAATCTTTTTGCAGAAGATATAAATATTCCGAATATAAAAGGACAAATATTACTTATAGTGGAATATTTTAGGAACAATAATTTGGCAAATGCAAAGTATAGAGAATCTGATATAGTTTAGTACAATCTATATTGCGCAATCGCTTAAGAAATGAGAAAGCTGGAAAACTTGTGTTTCTTTTCAAACAATTTAGCAATAAATAACAAACTATTGTATTTATGTTATTCTTCATATTGTGTTTATTAATTTCAAATCACAGAATGAAAATGTCTATGTTATTAAATTAAATAACCCAGAATTAGAATTGTGCTGTCTCTTTTATCAATAAGTATTTTTTTCTCAAAATATGTTTACAGCATCTTTGACATAGTCAGATTTTCTTAAACTAAATTTATAAACACAATCTGTTACATTAATTTTGTCATTTTAAAAATCAAGAGAAAGAAAAAAATAAATCACAATTTTAACTTAAAATTATAGTTTGCTAATTGAAACTTTGTTTTAATAGCTAAAGTATTCTTTAAATTCGCTATTTCATCTAGTCTTTAAATTTCAATCATGCATTTATTTCAAAACGATTACTATGCATTCAAAGCTATGTATTATAATGAAAAATTGCTTTAGGCAGTTAGAGCTTCTAAAATATTGTTATACTATAGTTTTAATATTAATTTAATTTTGATTAAGCATTTATAAAGTTTTCTTATTCATAAATCAAAGTTCTTACAGTGTATTTGAATAATAAAAAATCCGATTTAAATCAAAAAAATCACAAACCCTGGAATATGAATATATATATATATATATCCAAAAAACAAATAGATGAACTCAAATTTGATAAAAAATAATAGATACCCAACTAAAGTAATAAAATTCTATATAAAATCATCGAGTTAATCGTAGATTATTGAAGATATATTTACTAAAAGTTTTCTATGTTCATTTATATAATTTTTCCATGTGCAAATCCATTTCGGGCAAATCCGTGGCCTAAATTATTTACTAAAAAATTTCGTTGTTATTTTATATAATTTTTCCATGTGCAAATCCATTTCAGGCAAATCTATGGCTAAAATTATTTACTAAATAAATTTCTTTGTTCATTTATATAATTTTTCCATGTGCAAATCCATTTCGGGCAAATTCGTGGCTAAAATTATGTGCAAAACAGGCAGTTAATGTTTCCTTCCGTTTTCTATTTTTTTCTTAAATAAATATTTATTTTCTATAATTATTAATTGTCAACTCCTTTAAATTATTCAGTATAATATTACCTTGTGTACATCCATTTCGAGCCCATCCTTGGTAACTAACAAATCAAACGCACTTCAGTAGGAACGCACTTTAATACAAAAGTCCTCTAGTTACGCATTTAGCTCAATTTGCTTTTCTGTTTTCATTTTTTTTGCAATCTGGCAATCTTGTTACGAAAATATTTAAATCATTTTAGAAAAATTTCCCGTTCCTGTAAGTTCATTTGAATTCGCAACTCGCTTTTTTGATTTCATTTCATGTTTTATTCTGCTTTTTCTTTATATTTTATTTTCTGTTTTTTCGTGATATTTTTACTTATTGTGTCCTATTTTATTTGTTGTAATTTTGTTGTAAAATTTTTTGAGTGCTCCTCACACTATTGTATTAATATATTTTGCTTTGGCTATATTGATACAATATTAGAAAGCATTCTTTTTTGTGGATATAATCGTGCGAGCTGAGGAAAAGATTATATCTTTTATTTTCCGGATATTTTAAAAATTTTTGTCCTTTTTTTCAGATATTTTCCCCCCCAGTTTCTTGTTATTTTTATTATTATTATTTTCCCCCCTTCTTTCATTGTTCTGTAATTTTTCCCTTATTTTCTCTACATTTTGAACTTTATATATATACACACAGTATAGAACCTCTTATCCGGAAATCAGAAAACTGGAACGAAATGCAATAAATTCCCCCCCCCCCCATTTCTAAAAAAAATTTTTTTTTTTCCTTTATAAGATTTTAGAATTTTTCTTTGTTTTTTAAAAGATTTTTATTTTACCATAATTTTAGAAATGACCATTAGTTCCCCACACTGTCAAGAGAATTAAGAGTCTTGTACTAAATATCACCAATCATTCCCTTCCTCACCCCCTACATAGTTGTTTCTTTTCAATCATAGCTCAGTGAGAAAGGGTGACTCATTGAACACATGTTTTCCATCTGGCCCTTAAGCAGGGGAAGTAATAACTACCAGCTTCTCACAATAGGAGTTATCATGTTTGTTGATTGCTTAGTCCAGGAGAGTTAAAACAAATAATTTTAATTGTCTTCGATTCCTAGAAATCTCTTAAAGTACTCCCTATAGCAGGGTTTATTAATCTGTGGTTCATGGACCCCTTAGGGGTCTATGGGTTATACTTTGGGAGTCTGCCAACTACTCCTAATTTTTAAAATGCTTGTTTAAATAACATTGATCTTTTTTTTTCTTTCTAAAAGGTGAAAATATATACACATTTGAAGGTAGGTGATTTGTGAGAGGCAAGCCACCCCGTGACCGAGATACCCCAGATTCCGCGCGGACTGCAAACAGCCCTCTAATATCCCTGTCACTTACTAATTAATTATTATTTGATTTATTATTATTTAATATTTTTTGTAGCCCCAATCTAATTCGAAATGTTCAAAAAAAAGGAAGTATGATGAAAATTATGTTTTATATGGATTCTGTTGCATGAAGGAATCTGACAGTACAGAAAAGCCCCAATGTCTTTTGTTTTGAAAAGTTTTAGCAAATGCAAGTATGAAACCAGCAAAATTGATAGAACATCTCAAATCTCTTCATTCTGAAAATGCATCAAAAGATCTAGAATTTTATACTAAGAAGAAAGTCCAGTTTTTGAAATCTGGAACATTAACCAAACTTGGATTTGGTATTCCACAAAAACCTCAGGTTGAGGAATCTTTCAAAGTTGCATATCGTATTGCCAAAAGCAAGAAACCGCATACTATAGGAGAGACGTTAATTAAGCCAAGTGCGCTGGAAATGGTTGAATTAGTTTGAGGCTATTCCATTGTCAAATGATGTGAAACATTCAAGAATAGTTGAAACTTTTTGCAATATCTTAAAACAGATCATCGATGAATTGAAAGCATCGCCATTTCCCTTTAGTATGCGACTGGATGAAACTACAGACATCTCAAATTGTAGTCAACTTCTTGTCTTTGTTCGTTATGTGCCTGCTGATATTATCAAAGAGCAATTTTTATTTTGTGATTCTCTTTTGCAAACTACTTTTGCAGTCAATGTTTTAGCAATGTTAAATGTTTTCCTTACCAAACACGACTTAGACTGGAAAGAAAAACTTCATTAACTTTGTACAGATGGAGCACCTGCGATGCTTGGCAATAAATCTGGTTTTGCCCTGTAGGAATAAAAAGAGGCTCCTAATGTTCTAGTTACTCATTGTTTTTCACAAAGACATGCACTGGCTACAAAAACTCTTCCAACTAGCTTAAAAGAAGTATTATCACAAGTTATTAAAACTGTGAATTTTATTAGAAGTAGAGATCTTAATCATTGTCTTTTTAAAACACTGTATCAAGAAATGGAAGTAGAACATGAGGTACTTCTGTACC